TACTCCTTTCCCAGTTTTGAACCAGTCCATTCCTTGTTCTACGTCTGGTTCTAACTGTTGCTTCTGACCTGCATACAGGTTTCTCAGGAGGCAGGTAAGGTAGTCTGGTATTCCCATCTCTTTAAGAATTTCCCAGTTTGCTGTGATTTCACAGTCAAAGGCCTTAGCGTAGTCAAAGAAGCAAATGTAGATGTTTTTCTGGAATTCCCTTGCTTTCTCTATGATCCAATGAATGTTGGCAATTTGATCTCTGTTTCTTCTGCCTCTTCTAAACCCAACTTGTATGTAAGATAAGTTCTTGGTTCATGAACTCTGAAGCCTAGCTTGAAGGATTTTGAGCATTACCTTGCTAGCATGAAAAATGAGCACAATTTGAACATTTTTCAATGATAAAATTGAAAATTTTTAAATTTAAAAATTAAATTTACTATTTAAAAAAATTTTTTAAAGGTAGTTTGAACACTGTTTGACATTTGCCTTCATGTGTTTGGAATGAAAACTAACTTTTTCCAGGCCTGTGAATCATTCAGAAAAAGAATTATCAAATACATAAGTGAAAGTGTTAGTTGCTCAGTCTTGTCTGACTCTTTGTGACCCCATGGACTGTAGACTGCCAGGCTCCTGTTTCCATGGAATTCTCCAGGCAAAGATTTTGAAGTGGGCAGCCATTCCCTTCTCCAGGGATTTTCCCAACCCAGGGATAGAGTTGGGTCTCCTGTTTTGCAGGCAGTTTCTTTATCATCTGAGCCACAAGGGAAGCCCCGTTAAATACTTAAGGTAACTTTTAAAAATTAATTTATTTTTTAATTGAAAGATAATTGCTTTATAGAATCTTGTTGCTTTCTGCCAAATATCAACAAGAATCAGCCATAGGTATACTTTTGTCCCCTCCTTCTTGAACCTCCCTTTCATCTCCCTCCCCATCCCACCTGTCTAGGTTGTTACAGAGCATAAGGTAAAATTTTAACTTAGAGGTGAGTGAATGAACTTTATTCTCCAAATAATCAGTACTGAAATTACATATAAACCACGTGAAAAAAAAAACCCACCACCTCTTATACTTCAATATAAATTCCAGATGGATGAAAGACTTAAACTTTCTGAAAATCCATAAAGACATAAGATAGCGTGTGAGTGAAAACACATATACTTGGGGGTGAATGAAGATTTTAAGAAGCCTGATACCACAGCATGAACTCATAAACAGGATGAAGAGCTCAGAGGACATACAAAATGAAGGCTGTCCTGGCCCTGGTGCTACAGGAGCCTCAACTCCATTGCCCATGCTCACCCTGTCCTGCTCTCTCCAGCCCAAGATGCCACAGAGACTCCAGGGTCCCCTGGATGTGCACAGAGGTCCCTGGTTTGTCCCAGCGGGATCACTCTGCTGAAGAGACACCTTGAGGAGGCTGATGAGAAAGTGAAAGCAGGAGTGTGAGGAATGACTTCTGAACGTGCTCACACACAGAGTGCCCTCTCTCACATCGACACTTAGGATCAGTTGTTTGTTTCTTGGCCTAATCTCCGTTTTCCCGTCTTCAGATTTCCTCTTCTCTCCACCTTGTGATGTGTATCCCCAGATCGACCTGATTGCAGCGCCCCTTGTCTGCTCACATGTCGACAAACTGGATCCACCCTGGAGTCAAGTATTGATATCCGTCTCCACCTTGGTCATGGTCTCCGGGTTATTTTGGTATTAGAAAATAACTTGAGTTTGCCGCATTGGAAGACTTCTCTTCTACCAAGAGTACAGTGGAGTAAACAAACAAACAAAAACCCAGCAAACTGCCCTGCGCAGCACAGCCAGGCTTTGTGGGGAGTGGATCTGTTTTTTACAGCTCTCCAGTGGCTCGGAGACAAGTTTTGTGCTGTCCCCTTTGGTGGTCTGTGTGTTTCTGGTAGTCTCTTCTAGAGTTACAAAGTCAGCCTAGGGAAGGAGGTGCATTCTAGCCTCAGGTGGGGAAGTGAGACTGAAGGAAGTCATACAGTAGCACTGAGGAACAGAGATGTGAAAATCAGACTGACTTGTGAAAAAGGCTTGAACCAAGATTCTTCCAGACCTAAAGTAAAATTTGAAGCAATGTCCCTTCACAAAGAGATACTGTTTACTATCAAAACAAAAACAAAACTATAAGAATAGCTTTATCATAAGCTTGTTTGGATGATGATGTATGTTAGTGCTGAACTCAGGGCTTGGTGTATACTTGCCTACAATCTTAGGCATTGTTATTTATGATTTTTATTTTTACTTTAAGGCAAGAATGTACTTAATTCAGCTGTTCAACTTTGCTCTTCTCTTTTTCTATTTCAAGCTCTGGCACTCTTATGGGAGGTCAATATTCCCAGTATCAGGATATCTCCAGCCCTGTCCTGAACATATCCACTCTCTGAAGCTTTGACCATACAAAGAATAAATGAGGCAAAAGACCATGGGCAAAGATAGGCCAAGAAGTCTGCTCTCTAGTGTACCTAAGGTACTTGACTTCCCCTGGGAAGAAAACCTCCTTGGAGAATTGTTGCTTAACAGTCAGATCTGGACAGGGATAAAAAGTGATCAATAGACCCAAGAATCCTCTATAAATGATGACACTTTTCACTAAATAGTAGACTGTGCCCTGATGTTTAGCACTTGGGCCTATTTTCTGGACCACAGGTCACTACTGCTCAGGCTCCCTTGTTGTTGACATTGTTGTTATTGTTGTTTATGGTCACCTAGTCATTTTCGACTCTTTGTGGCCCTGTGGACTGCAGTAAGCCAGGTCTCCCTGCCATTTACCATCTCCTGGAGTTTGCCCAAGTTCATGTTCATTGTGTTAGTGATGCTGTCCATCCATCTCATTCTCTGACACCCTCTTCTCCTGCTCTCACTCTTTCCTAGCATCAGGGACTTTTCCAATGAGTCATCTGTTCGAATCAGATGACCAAAATACTGGAGCTTCAGCTTCAGCATCAGTCCTTCCAGTGAACATTCAGGGTAGATCTCCCTTGAGATTGACTGCTTTGATCTTGCTGTCCAAGGAACTTGCAGGAGTCTTCGCCAGCACCGCAGTTTGAAGGCATCAACTCTTTGGCATTTTGCCTTCTTTACAGTCCAACTCTCACAACCATACGTGACTACTGGGAAGACCATAGCCTTGACTATATGGACCTTTGTCAGCAGAGTAATGTCTTTGCTTTTGTCTCTAGATTTGTCATCACTTTCCTGCCAAGAAGCAATTGTCTTCTGATTTTATGGCTGCAGTCACTGTCCACAGTGATTTTGGAGTCCAAGAAGAGGAAATGTATCAACTTCCATATTCCCCCTTCTATTTGGCATAATAGAAGGGGAAATTTTCTTATGGGGCCACGTGCCATGATCTTAGTCTTTTGTTTTAATATTTAGTCTTAAGCTGGCTCTTTCACTCTCCTTCAGCATTATCAAGAGGCTCTTTAGTTCCTCTTCACTTTCTGCCATTAGAGTGGTATCATCTGCATATCTGAGGTTGTTGATATTTCTCCCGCCTATCTTGATTTCAGCTTGTAACTCATTCAACCCGGCATTTCTCATGATGTGCTCAGTGTATAGGTTAAACAAACAGTGACAGAAGACAGCCCTGTCTTACTCCTTTCTCGATCTTGAACCAATCAGTTGTGCCATACAGGGTCCTAACTGTTGCTTCTTGACCCCCATATAGGTTTCTCAGGAGACAGGTAAGATGGTTCCCTTAAGGAATGTTTTTCTTAAAGTTCCTTAACGTGATTAGCATGAAGTGTTAAAAAGATGTGCCTCAGAAGTAGGTGCTATATTAAATATTTCCATTTATTTTTAAGTAGTAGAATTCTTGAAAAAATATAAGGAACTACCCAGTTTCCCATATTTGTGTGGTAAAGACACTTGTTCATGTATATGACAGGTATTGGGGAAATACTAGTGCAGCCTCCAGTGGGGTAAATAGACACGGAGACACACACAAATGGAAGGAAAGTTGTGACTGTGAAGTCTCTGATGATGAGGGTACCATGATGGCACATAGGCACACAGGATGGGAAGAATTTAGAGATAGGAAAACCTGAGAAGGAATCATGAAGTCTTCCTTAAAGAAAAGATTAAAAAAGGCTCACAAGGTCAATAATGTACCTTAGTGGAAGAGTTCTTCTGAGTGGGGAGAGGAGGCAGAGGAGACTGTAACATGGACCCACAATTCCAGGCAATGAGGTGATGGTAACAGTATTTACACCAATCCACACACATTTGGTGCTCATTTGACATGATGGGTCTTGCTTGATCCCTTGTGCAGGGGTATTGATGGTCAGAAATGAGCAAGAGGAGAAAGTCAGAAGATGAAGAATGAAGTGAAGCGAAATCACTCAGTAGTGTCCAACTCTTGCGACCCCGTGGACTGTAGCCCATCAGGCTCCTCCATCCATGGGACTCTCCAGGCAAGAGTACTGGAATTGGTTGCCATTTCCTTCTCCAGGGAATCTTCCCGATCCAGGAATCAAACCCAAGTATCCTGCATTGCAGGCAGATTCTTTACTGACTGAGCTATGAGGGAAGCCCAAGATGAAGAATGGTCCTCAGGAAAGCAAGATGTTGGTGAGGGGGAAAGGGGGATCATGTGCAGCTCTTTAGAGCAAGTTCTTAACTCCAGGAAGAGAACAGATGCATTTACTTCAGAAGGAGGGCGCACGTGAGCCTCCTCTCTGCCTCCTGCCCCACTGCCCTCTCGACCTCTTGTCCTCGCTTACCCTTCCCTGCTGCCCTTCATCTCTCTCTTGCGCTCTTCCTCAGTTCTTGTTTCCTTCTCTCTCTCTCTTCACTGTTGTCTCTCCCTGCCTTTCTCCTCTTCTCTCCATTTTCCTTCACCTTTCCCTCTCCTACCCACAGTCTTCTAGATTGAGTATAGCTCCCCTAAGGTCACCTTGGAGTAAATATTTTACAGGTATTGAAATAGATCCTGAGTTGTCAATTTTTAAATGGGCCAAAGTCTTAGATCTCAGAACAGCAAAAGGTGGTAGAAATGGGCCTGCCCAGTAACCGAAGGCACAGCCTCACCGTGGACATAACTCCTTCTCTCTTGTGTTCCCTTCAGGGAAACATGGGGACTCTGATCAACATGCAGCCCCTGTTTCTGCTCTTCCTGCTGCTGAAGCCACTGCAGTTTGTGAGGATAAATGATCCATCTTTATCAGATGAACGACGAGAAGAATTAGAAGACTATTTAGAAGACTTATATGCTACAGGGCCTACCAAACCACCTACCAAGGAAATGTTCAAAACCCATGTCATTATTAATTCTGAAATGCCGTTAACTGATCAAGACTACTGCAATCAAGAAATGAGGATGAAACGTGTTCACAATAGGCTTTATTGTGTTAAACAGCATTTCTTCCTCCAAGCATCATATAATGACATTCAAGAGATCTGTCATAACATTTTTGTGCAATGCACAAATGGGGTTAGGAAATGTCACAGGAGCCAGCAAATAATATCCGGAGTGCATTGTGCTTTAAAAAGTGGGACCATGATGCCATTTTGTGAATACACATCATCTTACAGAGAGGGATGGGTCCTTATCACTTGTCAATGGGACGATATTGTTGGAGAAATTATCCCTGTGTCTGTAATTGATATTTTGGCCATATAAAGAATCATCCACCAGGAAAATCTCTTTTCCTCCACCCCTCTAGAAGTATATTCTCTGAGATGTTACAGCAAGAAGATAGAATCCTATCCTTACTGATCCCTACAAGTCAAACTTGAGAATGGAAATTTTTATCCCATTCACTTTCATCATTCGCTGCTTGCCCTTTTTCTCCTTACACTAGGCAAAGGAAAGGTGGGCTGGATTAAGAGATAGTGCTCTGAGATGGATTCAAACAGGTCACAGAGTTTAGCACACTTTGAATTTTTTAAATGGGTGAATGCCTGCAGGGAAAGGCTGACCAGCACCAAGAGGAATACGAAATGTTTGCTGATAAGTGTAAGTGAAAGCCCCTCAGTCATGTCTGACTCTTTGTGACCCCATGGACTATACAGTCTGTGGAATTCTCCAGACCAGAATAGTGGAGTGGGTAGCCTTTCCCTTCTCCACGGGATCTTTCCAACCCAGGGATTGATCCTAGGTCTCTCACATTACAGGCAGATTCTTTACCAGCTGAGCCACAACAGAAGCTCCAAAGTTGTATTCATGTGAATTTCTGGTTCAGTAGAAATAATAAAGTGCATCGATGTAGTTAGGTGTCTCTGGAATGCTTATGTGGGGTTTTTGGGTTTGCCTGACCTTCCTCTGTGACACAACTTGAAACAAAAAGAATTGAAGGGACTTTCATGGTGGTCCGGAGGCTAAGATTCTAGGCTCCCAATACAGGGACCCTGCGTTCCAGTTCTGGTGTTGGAATTAGATCCCGCATGCCGAATCCAAGAGTTTACATGCTGCAAATGTAAACATGCCACAAGCTCCAACTAAAAATTTGGATGTCACAAAGATCAAGATCTCGAAAGCTACAAGAAAAACCTGGCACATTAAGTAAATAAATAATTTGTTTTAAAGAAGAGTTGGGAACCCCCTCTGACATTGTGAAATTCACATTCATAGTTGGTATATTTGTAGAATTTTCACTTGTTCTCTTCTTTCCATTCAGCACAGTACTCATGGGGACAGAAAAATGTAGATATAACAAGAACCATCTCAGTATAAATACCTGATATTCAGAATAGCAAACTCCCCAAAGTACTTTTCAGCTGTCCAATGCTGCTTTTGTGAATTCCCACATCTTGGTTTCTTTTCTTTTCACTATTTATTAGATTATAGTTGATTTGCTATATAAATGTCAGTTACTTTCAGGTATACAGAAAAGTAAATCTGTTACGCTTATACATAATATCCACTCCTTTTAAGATTCTTTTTGCTTATAGGTCATTATAGAGTATTGAGTAGAGTTCCCTGTGTTATACAGTAGGTCCTTATTAGTTATCTACTTTTTATAGCAATGTGTACATGCTAATCCCAATCTTCTAATTTGTCCCTCTCACATCTTTGTTTTAGCTTAGCCATCACTATTTATACAAATACAAACTTTCTGGCATAGTCACATTCATTCACCATTTCTTTTTCTCACCTTGCTGTAGCTGTGGCTTCATCTGAGAAAATTCCACTTCCAAAAGTGGCTGGAGATCCAGTATGAGAAAAGAAATTTGTCCAGTTTTGGTAACAACTTCTCCCTCCCTTTGTAAAATTCCTTGATATCCTTTGATCATTATTCCCTATAACTTACTGAAAAGGGAATAAAAAGGAGTGGGGAGAGATGAGAGGGAGAGTGCCTATCATTCTTACACATTTCACTGCAATCCAGTCTGCACATGTCCTCCATCCCCATCTCCACAGGGACATGCATGGAACATCCCCATCTCCATGTCCCATTCCCTATCCTTGTCTTTAGACTCAGAGCTAGGTCCTAATTTATCAACAAGGGCCTAGGGTTCAGTGCTGCCAGACCCCAATTCTGTGACTAAGAAATTCAAGCCTCTAGACAGCACTTTTATGTGGAAACTCATAACTTTTGATTGTAATTTCTGAGTGAATGAAGATTCCATCAAACATTTGAGGTCACCATGATACCTTCCAAAACCACCTTTCTAGACATCAGTTGAAGAAATTCTCCACATAGGCTAGCTTGGGTATGTGCCCTGGACCATCTCATTTGCGTCATGTTCATCTCAAGTATCTAGGGGTTCTACAACATACAATAAATATATTTATTTTTAATGTAATCATCATAATGTATTTCTTTTTCTCCAGGTAAATTATCAGATCATTACACATTCTGAAATTAAAGCCATGGAAATAGAACAATGATTATTTACACAGATTGTTCCTCTTACAGAATATTGCATAAAAATCTAGATCTTGACTCCTACCCACCAGATTCCCTAAGATAATACAGTTTGTGAGGATATTTGATGAATGTTTATCAGATGAATACATTTACTTTCTGCTGTGTCTTTGTACTAAACTTTTGAATAAAAGAGGAATGAATGTGGGTTGCTTCATTACATATTCACATTCTTTATTAATAATATTCCAGCTTTATGCATCTTAAGATTGCAAAAGATTATTGTACTGTGCCCATAGCACAGTCTCCTCTCAATGAAACAAAACTACCAAGGTGAATATTATCCTGTTACAATTTATTCTTTTTGTTAGTGTCCCTTGAGATGACGCATACTAATTTTACTTAACACATAACACATGTTGTTTATTCTTCCATTTACTGATGAACACGTCCACCATTTGCCTATTGTAAATAGCGCTGCTTTGAACAGAGATGTACAAATGTCTGTTCCAGTTCTTGGTTTCAACTCTTGTGGGTATATACCAAGGAGTGAAATTTTTAGATTTTTATCTGTTTGAAATGTGAGAGTCAAACAACACTATGTTCAATATACTGATAATTTATAACAGAATGAGAAACTGTAATGATGCCAATCAAAATACACACACACAGAAAGAAACTGAACTTTCTGTTTTAGTGACACAAATTTCAGATAATTTTACTTTTTAAATTATGTAAAATAGCTTGGACGTGAAAGTCACTCAGTCGTGTCCAATTCTTTGTGACCCCATGGACTATACAGTCCATGGAATTCTCCAGGCCAGAATAGTGGAGTGGGTAGCCTTTCCCTTCTCCAGGGGATCTTCCCAACCCAGGAATCATACTCAGGTCTCCCACATTGCAGGTAGATTCTTTACCGGCTGAGCCACAAGGGAAACCCAAAATAGGTTGAATGTGTGTATGTGAAGGTCGCTCAGTTGTGTCCGACTCTCTGCGACTCCATGGACTGTACAGTCCATGGAATTTTCCAGGCCAGAATACTGGAGTGGGTAGCCTTTCCCTTCTCCAGGAGATCTTCCCAACCCAGGTATAGAACCCAGCTCCCCTGCATTGCAGGTGGATTCTTTACCAGTTGAGCCACCAGGAAAGCCAAATAGTTTGAAGGAACCTAAAATAACAACCAAGGTGAATTTTGCTGCCATCCTTGACAGTTGAAATTTTGATGCAGAAATGTTGAATTAAAAAAAAAATTCACACTTTTCTTGCATCTGAGTTTGAGAAACACTTTCACACTGCACATATTTTAAAATTAAATGCAATTTACTTTAAACCAGATGTAACTAGGTTTGTAAAAATTCTTTTTGGTGTCTTTTGCCATAGGAATCATTATTATTATGTGATTTGTTTCAGGTAAAGTTTTCTGTGCACTTGTGTATATGGGTATGTAATTCAGTGTCTGTGTGTAAGCAGGTCTTTCAATCATTTTCTTAATGCCTGTGCACCTCTTTCGCATAATAAAGACATTCTTGGTAGTTTCCTGGTAGTCTAGTGGCTAGGATTCCATGCTTTCACTGCCATGTTCTGGGTTTAATCCCCAGTTGGAAAACTGAGATCCTGTCTGATGGACAGCATGGCCAAAAGAAAAGAAATGAAAAACATACCTTACTCAATCTTAAATATGAAAAAAATATGCTACTGTATTTGTATCAATATCCTTAATGTTTTCTAAATATTACTTTGATCTCAAGTCCAACATACTTTGGGGAGAGAGAGAGAGTGTTTGTGTATGGGCTACAAGGAATGAACACTGGAACCTATGTTGGTGTTTTTACTGATATGCAGCCAATTGTCTCACTAGATTTATCTTTCTCCTCCCAAGAAAATCTATGGGATAATCTATCCCACCATATTCCATACTTCTATTTTTCTACTAATCCTAATCTGTCAGAAGGACAAGATAATGAAATCAGTCAAACCAGTGGCCATGCCTTGGATATCTTAGTCATTTCCTTCTAAACTCACACTGAAGGACATTTCAGGTGCTCCAGGCTTTTGGCTCAGACAGTAAAGAGTCTGCCTGCAATGCAGGAGACTCGGGTTGGGTCCCTGGGTCCAGAAGATACCCTGGAGAAGGAAATGGCAACCCGCTCCAAAATTCTTGCCTGGAAAATCCTGTGGATGGAGGAGCCGGGTAGGCCACAGTCCATAGGGTCATAAAGAGTTGGAGACAACTCAGTGACTTCACTTTCATTTTCAGTGGTTAAAACTCAGCACTTCCACTCCAGGGGGCACTGGTTCAACCCCTGATCAGGGATCTAAGATCCCACCTGTGCCTGGCATGTCCAAAACTAAATGAATACTTACATTGTCATCTGATCTGCAAAAATCCTTTAAACTAAATAAATTCACATTTACATTACATGAAAATATAGTAAATATCAATACAGAAAATCTATAAACATTTTTGCAAAATCATACAAAAAAGGCTAAACAGGGTATGAACAAATATAAATTTGCAGAAAGCTACAACCGAGAGAGAGTTCTGTCATCTGAGACCTAGCTTTGACTCCATTATTGCAACATAAGATGTTAAAATTACTCTACATTTGTGCTCTGGAGGTTGATTTTCAATTACTGAGAAACTCTTACTTAGTGTCTCTCTACTCTCTGCATTTCCGGAAGCTCCAGATACTCAAGCCATCATAGTGACCCTAAGGAGAAGAAATGTCTTGAATTCACCAAAAGGTGTGCATTTCAGTGCACCCATTGATCCTCTAATGGCCCGTAAGGATCACATTGTTCTCCAGGTTTTCTCATACTGATCCCATTCTCAGTTTGGTTATAGGTCTGAAGGTCTGAAGCATAATTATTGCCTCTGCTGCTGCTGCTGCTAAGTCGCTTCAGTCACGTCTGACTCTGCGACCCCTTAGACGGCAGCCCACCAGGCTCCCCCGTCCCTGGGATTCTCCAGGCAAGAACACCAGAGTGGGTTGCCATTTCCTTCTCCAATGCGTGAAAGTGAAAAGTGAAAGTGAAGTCGCTCAGTCATGTCTGACTCTTAGTGACCCCATGGACTGCAGCCTACCAGACTCCTCTGTCTATAGGATTTCCCAGGCAAAGTACTGGAGTGGGTTACCATTGCCTTCTCCAATTATTGCTTCTATATGATAGTAAAAAGTATAAACTTAAAGTTGCTTAAGGTGAGATTTTTCTTCCAGAATTTAATAGAGAAATACTCTGAGGTTTATTCACAAAGGTAAGTCTAATTGTAAGGACTGAGTGTTTAGACTCTCTCTTGTGTTTAACTATCCAAACTGAGGAACTGACATTATCTGAAGCTGACAAAGGGTAGGAGATCGCTGATACGAGAATGTGGCATTCTGAGAAACTGGCACTTAATATTGAATAACATGTCCAAACAGGCTCTTAAAGATACATTTCTTCAATGATGCTTCCTCAGAATTATTTTAATTTTGAGAAATTGACAGCTTTCAAGATCACTATAAGACATTAACCTTTCAGAAAGAGCAGTTGAATAAGGTTATGTTTAGGGCTTCCCCTCCCTCACCATGTAATCTTTATTTCAAACATTATTTGGGACCACGTTACAGATATCTTCTGTGTTTTGATTTTTTTCCCCAGCTTTTTCAAGTGGACATTTGCTACTTTTGTATTTGGTGTCCATTCCTTTGTTTGTGTTGTAGGGGAA